TCAAAATAAAATTTGTATAATATTTTTATAAGTTACTGTTTAAGAATATCAAGGCCTCTGTATTTTTCGTGGACAATCTATTGCGACGGTCTGTTATGGTGTACCCAGCTTTGGAAAATGTACGTTCACACGGTACTGAAGTTGATGGTACGCACAATCGTAGCAACATGAGATCAAACAAATTTGGATAAATCCTTTTCATCTCAGAACAACCACACTAAAGGATCCGATTTTCTTTCCAACAAGGGCTCGTTTAAATATTTGTCCAACTCTATAATGGCTTGTGATGTTGGAGTACTCACACTAGTCTGAGTTGACGAAGACTGCGGAAAATTAAAAATAATTATTAAATAAATAAAATAGGTACAGTACAAAATAGTTATAAAAAAATAATGATAATAATACTTGGAAATCGAAATCTTTCCATATTTCATACTGATCCGTCTTATTTGTAGCTTCACAGGATTGTGCATCAATGATTCCATGGTCTTTTGATGTATTTTTTTTTTCGACTAGACTTAGTTAGTTTAGCTAGACTTTTGATAATGTTCTGATAAGCACGGTTGAAAGATGTTTGTTCACTGAAGCCTCTTTTTTTAAACCGTGGATCTAAGATAGTTGCTTGTGTCAAAACAGGCTGATTATCTATTCCTTCAAACTTATTTTCAGCCTTTTTCTCCATTTTTAAAATCATCGAATAAATGGCAGGTGTTAAATTTATTTCTTTTTTTTAATACGCGATAATAAGACATTAGTTAATATTATAACCTTTGAAATGGAAATACCTTTCTCAGAACTAAGTTCTATTGTTACTTCATTGAAAGGTTTAAAAATATTACAATAATGCTCCATTATGTTAAAATCATCTAGCGTTAAATTTTCGACGTTACCAATAATTGCTGTAGTCGATATTAATGGCTCTTTAATGTCAATACATCGTTGGAACATATCGTATGTACTGTTCCAACGTGTAGCAACATCTTGAATTAATTTTAAAACTGGTACACCCATTTGAGTTTGTGCCTCTTTAAGTTTTATATACGATTTTGTAGACCGCTTAAAAAATTCTACAATACTCTTTATTTTTTTATGAACATTTTTTATTTCATCCAGTCCACATTGCGCTAATAAATTAATTTTATGTGCTAAACACGGAATATGTCGCCAAGATTTGTTTAAGCCTATAGCACTCGTAATATTAACTGCGTTATCACTAACGGCAACTTTGATTTTATTTAATATGTCCCACTTGTTAAAACACTCGTTCATAAATTCGGATAAATGAACTGCGGTGTGCGATTTTTCAAAATAATAACAGCCTAATAAGTGGGTTTTCAAAACGCATTCTACCTTGTCTATATAATGTATAGTTATGGCAGTAAAACTATCATTATTTAATGATGTCCAACTATCCGTAGTAAACGCGATATATTGGGCATTTTCTAAATAATTTTTTATCTTATTTTTCGTTTTCTCTACTAACTGCGGAATAACTGCTGGATTTTGAAACTGTTTTTCTCGAAGGAATTACATAACTGGGATTGAGCATTTTCACAAACTTTTTAAATTCGATATTTTTCACAACACTAAATGGCTGAAATTCTTTTGAAATCATCACGCCTAATTGCTCGTCGATTTGTTGCGATTTTACAATGGACATAGGTCGAGGAATATATAAAGCATTTAGTGTCTGAGTTCGAGTGGGTTTTAAAGCTGTATTTGTTTTAGAAGTCGATGGTTGGGATATAGCCTGAGATATAACCTCACCCGGATTGTCGAGATCTTGTTCTAACTTTACGTCTGTTTCAGTGGTACGTACCTTCTTTCTCGCTTCAAACTGAATGATATGCTTTCTTTTTAAGTGTCTGCTAAGGTTCGCAGTCGAACCGCCTTTGAAAGAATATGTCACGGAACAATAGCTGCACTTAGCCGTTTCGCTATTCAGTGTACTAAAATGATGCCAAACATCACTGGTTTTCTTACTCATTTTTAAAATTATAATTAAAGTCTAAATATACAGAAAAATACACACTACGATATCGATAACGGGCACTGGCAAAAATAAAAGGGGTCGACTGTGGAGTGTCTACTGTCTTATGTATGTTTGTCGTTTGACCAACAGGCAAACCCGCAATAGCATTGTTTTGGTTAGATTATTTGGACATCCATTTATCCCTGAAACCCCACCAGGTCTTTACCGCTTATGTGGCGTGCACAAGATAGCTATTTTTAATATTTTGTTACTGGTTTTTTTTAATAGATACATATTATAAATCCGAGACCTAGCAATTATTTTTTTCATTTGTTTATTTAAAGTTAGTAAGTGTTGGTATCAAAAAAATATAAACGCTACAACACAGATAAAATTCTCTTTTAAGAATTATGAAAATATTTCTTAAATAAAAAATGAAAATTTTGGAAAATATACTGTAGATACTGCTCTAATAATTTTGTCCCTCGCAATAAAAAGGTTTCTGGGGAAAAGATTATTTAAACTATAGGAAAAGTTAAAATTTGTTATAAAATATCGATGAATATAATGTAATGGCTTGCTAAAATTAGCCAAGATTTGCAAAATAGCCGATTTCTCCTTGAATATTAATAATATTTAATGTACAACCTTCTCTACTTTGTACGTAACCAAAAGGTTAACAACACTATAAATGTAAATTATAAATTCAATTTATTTATACAAATACTAAGAAACCGTATACTTTGTACAACTAGAGATTGCGAAAACGCGCAAATAAACACATTAAATATTGTATAAATTATGTATCCGACAATGTTCCGCGAATAACAGTGGACAGCTTGCCAATTCACCAACGACCCGGACTCGAAGATTAGCAATTGCACAACTGGAAAAAGGTCACCAATGCGGGGATGCCAATGACTCCTTCCATTCCACCCGGATGGCAATTTTGCGTAAATACCAGCCGTTTCGCCATACAGAGGCAGAAGTGCCTTGGCTGTGTATTGCTCCACGTACCTGCAACAAGACTCTTATTACATTGTTTGTGTATTAAATTTATGCTCATGAAAATACATACCTAATCATATTCTTGCTATCGAAAGTATTCTTTTAATTAAAAACATCCATATACCATCTTCAACCTTTGTGTTTTAAGTCTTCAAAGGCCACAGACTTAGCAATAACGTACACTTAGCATATACCTAATATTATGATTTTAAATTTAGAGGCCTACTTTTTAAACATATTTATATTGTTAGTTTTTATTTAGATTTACAGACACAATGAAAAACAATGTATGGTGTGTTCACTACTTCACTAAAATTCAATATTACAATTATTCATTAGATTAAATTAATAGCTTATACCTATTATATTTTATAATAAAGTGGTGGTGTGGCATCCTCTTAAAATAATAAATTGTATTTGCAACCAATCGATTTTTTTAACAACAATACAAAATAACATATTGGTTTTAGGTTATTGATGCATTTTCACTAAAACCAGAAGTATAAAATTATTGTCCACTGTCCAGTGCTCAGTTTAATGCCTTGATAGTTGACATTTATTTTAGAATTCATAGATTTAGAGTTATAAAATATAACGAATATTGTATGTGTAATGTGACCGTTCCGGAACGGGCTAATCGGACCTGAACCATCCGTCACTTGTAACGAACGGCAGACGCTATACCGATTCCCAATTTTATGAATGAAGAACTTATAGGTTGATACTAGGTAATAGGTATAACAATTATTAATGACTCACTAGTTCGTTATCGTACTATTATTTGAATATATTATCATTTATTAGATTATGTAATATGGTTCCATAGAAATAATGTTATCTCGTTTGTTTTACGTTTTTTGTTAATATTGGTCGGCGCCGGGTGGTCGGTAATACTGGTTGACGACATAATGTCGTTCTTCATATAAAGTTAGCTAGATAGTCATTGCTTACTTCAAATTTTAGCCGCTTGTCCAAATTTGGCATATATAATGGTTGTTTGAACCACCGGTTTCAAATTGTGAGTTATGAAAGTGTGTCCGAAAAATATGTTAAGTAAAAATGTGACCGTATGAATGGAAAAGATATGAGAAAGGAACGGATAAGATAAAAAAAAAGAAAGCGATTAATCGTTAAAAAATAAAATAATAATAGTAGAGTAATATTAATTAACTAATAAAATCAATATGAAGTTCCGGGTCCTCGAAGTTTTGCATCTGGTTTATGGTGTGATAAGCACTACGTATCTGCGAGAGCGTTGCGGTACTTGTCGAATGCTTCGTTAGCCTCCGGTGTCCAGAACAACTTGCCATCCTTCCCTTTTACCGATGAGGTAAGTTCAAACAACGGCGCTTGTAGTTGAGCCGCGTTTGGTATAAATCTGTGGTAATAGTTTATCAAGCCCAGTAGTCGTTGGAGTCCTTTCTTGGTCGACGGGCGGGGCCATTCTCGTATGTCGTTAATCCGTTCAGGCAACGGGCTGACACCATCGCCGTTAACGACATGGCCTAAAAAATTTAATTGCTGGACGCCAAAAACGCACTTGTTGACGTTGATTGCTATCCCGTACATTTGAAAACGTCCGAGGACTGAGCGTAGATGCGTTTCGTGTTCCGACTCGGTTTGCGACGCGATTAAAACGTCATCAATATATGCGAAAGCGAAATCGAAACTAAGGAGGACGTCATTAACAAAACGTTGAAACGTTTGGGTGGCGTTTTTTAAACCAAAATACAAGACGGGAAATTCAAACAAGCCAAACAGAGTTGTCACGGCGGTTTTCGATACGTCATCGCGTGCGACGGGGATCTGATGATACGCGCGTATCAGATCTAGTTTTGAAAAAATTGTCTTGCCGTATAGGTTGCCCGTGAAATCGTGAATATGTGGAAGGGGATACCTGTCCGGCTTGGTGACGGCGTTCAGCCTGCGGTAATCCCCGCATGGGCGAAACGAGCCGTCTTTTTTCCCGACGAGCAATGTTCGACGTTATGCAGAAAAACGGCGGGCACTGGCGACTCACGGGTGATTTTTGGAAAATCCGCGAGCAGATCGATCCATGTGTGTGGTTGAGAAACCGCGCAAATGGTTTGCGGCACAGTGGTTTGAGGCACGATTTTCGACATTAGCCCCGAGCTTGAGTCGACCAAGCGACTACGGCGGACGTCGACGGAGAGGCCGTAATAGTGAAGAAAATCTGCTCCAATTATGCTCCTGGAGACATCGGCTATCTCGAAGGTCCACGTGAATGGCCTTGTAAGTCCCAAATCGAGGTGGAGCGATTTTCGTCCGGATCCGTGTGCCGTTAGCGGCGTTGAGCACGATGCCTGAGACCGGTAGTTGACCAGGAGATGCCGGCAAAACTGATTTATCGGCTCCCGAGTCGATAAGGAAACTTCTACCGCACCGCGTGTTCGTGACTAAAACACGACGGCTGCGATAAGCAGCGGTAGACTTGTTCCCCTCCGCCGCCCAAATCAGTTTCCCGACGGTTCGTGCGCGCACGGCGGTCTGCACTTGGTGGCATTTTCGCCGAATCGGCTGTGATAGCAACACAAACCTCTGTTATCAATTTTCAATGTATATTAATCGTACTTAAATACAAATAAAATCGTTATGGTTATACGAACCCGTAATGCTAAAACATATCCATGATTCAATGTTTTTCCGAGGAGCGGAGAAAATGACATGGCATTTTGGTACCATATACTTTTATTGTATAAGCACTTATTAATTATTATCGTTAAAAATAATCAAGTCGTTTTAACTTTTATCCACGTATAATTAGTTAAAATTTGTTTAAATAACCCAAAGTTAAAAACTCTACATAATAATTTCATTAAAAAAAATTTTCAGTTTTAGTTCCGGCTGTGACCAATCAGCTCTAACTTTTAACAGGCTTATTCGTATCTTAAGTTTTTTTGTTTCAACGAGTTAATTTTTATTCAAGCATCGTAGACCGAAGAACATTGAGAATCATCGTCAGAGTCACTTGGACAGTCAATAACGATTATTTGCCCGTTATGGTTGATGTAGGAACAGCCGTGTTGTCTGTAGTATTCATCAATAAGCGCACAAGTACAGAGAGGCTGATCTTCAGTGTATTCTGGAGAGTCAGCCGTCTCAGCCTCATCCTCAGTCTCTTCGAGTCGTTTTTCCATTTCTTTTTCGTACTTGATACGCAACTGAAATTCTTCGGCCGGAAACGGTTTCATGTTTGGATCGGACCGTCGTTTTCGACGCACCGCCGACGGGCCGAAATTATTATTGGGCAGTCCGAGTCCAGTGGCGTTCAAGGGTCGTGCGGGGCCCACGGTCATGGCCCTTGGATCCGTTAAGTTATGGGACGTGGCCGCACCCGCGTATTTCATTTGGCCCTTTTTAACGTTCACGTTTCCGGTCTGTCGGCTTAATTTCCTCTGACCGAAGCTCGCTTTGGCCATGTTCTTACCTACGTGCCGTTGTCGTTGTAACAAATGACAGACGTCGCTCTCGCACACGTAATTCGGGTCGTCCAGCATCAAGTTGATCTCATCGATAAAACGGGCCACGGTGTTCAGCTTGCCGTCGATCGAGCTGTCGCCGCGGACCGACGTGGTCTGCGCCTCGTCTCGCAACTTAGTAAAGTCTCTGAGGGCGTCGTAATAATTCTCTTTTAGATCGTCTAAAGGCGAGGGCTCGTACAAGGGGCACATGGACAAGTGTCTGACTTTTGACTTGGTCGCCGGCGTGCGAGCAAGGACGGCGGCTGCCGGTTTGGTATGTTCTTTATCGGCGATCGGTTTGGCGATTTTGTGTTTGACGGGCGCGGATGCCGACGGTAGTTGATCTTCGTTGGCCATACTATAACTATTGTCTTCGATGGCCACAACGTCAATCGACCTGATATCATCTACTGGGCGGCCTACCTGAGCCAAACTTTGAACGGGCCCGTCATCGGGCGACCGGTTGGCCGCAATCGACGACTGTTGTGGCCGGGCCACGTAAGTACTAATGGCGGCTCGCATTGAGTCTAGCGTGCGCGTGGCTTCCCCCAGCAAGTTGTTTAAATCTCGCGCTTGTTGACCGTTATTGATTTTGACTGTCGGTTGAGTTTGCAGTTGTTGCACATCTACGAATGGCGTTTCTCGTTTTTCTGACGTTTGGTGAATACTAGTGCCGTCATTTTGAGATCCTACAGGTGCATTGTACTTAGTAGTATTGGGTACCGAGCTGATGTTATGATGTTCTTTGTTTTTCGAATGATCTATCACCCTGGACTATGGAAATGGTTCCAATCTATCTTCCAATGAGGAATTTAAAATTACTTCAGAAATCGCTGTAGATTCAGCAATAGTTTTTTTTGAGCCGGCGTCCGTTTCCATGGAAGCCATAAAACTTTTATTGTCTGAACTTAGATTTTCATCCTTTCCCGACTTTTGAGATACCACGTTTTCCATTTTAAACGCCAATTAGTGTTAAGTGTTTTGTGTTATAGTTTACTATCTAAAATAATAGTCTAAACAACGTCAAATACAACGAATTTTATAAAACCAATTTACTAATTTTTCTGGCCACAACAAAATTAATTAACACTTATCTAAGTGATTTTTTTGGTTAGCAACGAAAAATATTTATCATAACGAAAATACAGCTGATTTATCTGATAAGATAATAGGTGAGAGATTTAGAGATATGTTTTTACTTTAGAACACTGCCGAAAAAATCGACATCGAAAATTGATCTCATTAAATATTTGTTATTTTTCATTTTCTGTACCTATTTTGATTCTGTTCCAAAGTAGTTTACTATTTTATTAGGAGTTGTTGATCCATCAATATTGTATGATTATTCTATTTTTGTTTCGTTCTGTGCTTATTCTATCTTTATTCTTGGTTTTCTATTTTTTTTTTTTTGTGGTTGTTTCCGTGTATAGCGGAAAGTGTCGGAAAACGTGTCACGCAAGCTCCTGATCGAGGTATCGACACACCCAGTACATCAGTTCTTCAAAAGAACCATTTATTAAGAGACTCTCTGTCGTCAACCGAAAATGACCACACCGACAATGGATGTCGCCACATTTTTAGTGGAAATGTAAAAGGAGCAGAAAGATCTGTCGTTCTGTCATCTTGATAACTAAATAACTTAACGTAACGTTGCATAAGCAAATATTGCTTTTTAGAAATAATGATTAACCTATAATTTATTTTTAATTAAGAAAAACAACATCGTGTATAGTCGATACGATTTCATACAACATGTTTCCAATCCACTTTAGTTTTTCGCTTAAAATCTAACCTAACTTATGACCATAACCATATAACCATATAACTGTATATCCCATGGTACACAAAGTATAACCAGTATAACTCGATCAATAATGCTATGAACTCAAGACAACTGGTCCAATACGAGTATAAAGTCTCTGAACTATAAATAACACAAACGGTATTTAAAATATAGTTGTAACTACAAATATATTCAACGTAGGATAAACTAAACTTATTGAACTTACTCGAACAAGCGGGATATCAAATTCATGAAATCATAGCCGCACCCAAAACTGGATATTACTAATCCATATTGCATTAGTACAGGTATTTCCTAAAAAAAAAAACTTTAGTAAGGTCTATGACACAAAATAAAAAATAAACAATATAATTTTTAATTAAACAAAGTGTAGGACATACTTATAGTTGTGTATTACCTAATCGTGTATGAGTGCCGAGTCGGCGACAAGTGCCTTTACATACAAATATCATATATAAGGTGATTCATTATGGACAAACCACTAATTTTCTCTTTTAAAAAAATGCAATTTTATAATTTTTCTTTTTGAAAAATCACGTTGAAATCTTACGTTCACTACTCACCTACGCTTGCCCTATTTGGGGTAGTTGTGCACCTACACACTTGGAAAAAATTCAAACCTTCCAAAATAAGGTATTAAGAATAATAGCTCCCTGGTTCGAACGCAACAAAAATGTACACAAAAACTTCCAAATTAAAAACATTCACGATTTCATTAGAACCTTGGCTTTCAGTTCGTCGGTCACAGATGTTTGAATATTTTCTAGTGTCCCAAAATGTCGTCCTTTAAGGTGAATATTTATTCGTGGAAAGAGAAAAAAGTCACAAGGGCTGAAGTCGGGTGAATAAGGGGGTTGAGGGGCCACAGAAATATTTTTGGTTGCCAAAAACTGGTTGATTGAAATGGCTGTGTGACAAGGTGCATTGTCATGATGCAGCACCCAGGTGTTTTTGATGTTTGGTCTCACACGAATAACCCTTTTTCGAAGTTTTTCAAGAACTTCTTTATAAAATTGTTGGTTGACTGTTTGGCCTTGAGGAACAAACTCCTTGTAGACTATTCCCTGGCTATCAAAGAAACAAATCAGCATGCTTTTGATTATTGACTTGCTCATCCTTCCTTTTTTTTGCCTTGGTGAAGCTGATGTGTGCCATTCTTGGCTCTGACGCTTTGTTTCCGGGTCATACTCGAAAATCCAAGACTCGTCACCAGTAATGACACGTTCTAAGAAAGAAGGGTCATTTTCAATCTGTTCCAAAAAATCGAGACATCTGTCCCTCCTGTTGTCCTTTTGGTCTTGCGACAGGATTTTCGGAACCATTTTCGCACAAATTTTTTCTCATCTCCAAATCATTGGTCAAAATTTGATGAACGGTGGTGTGAGTTAATCCTAACTGTTCTCCGATCATTCTGACCGACAACCGACGATCGGATCGAACAAGATCTCGAACTCTGATGACGTTTTCATCATTTTTTGCAGTTGAAGGTCTTCCACTGCGAGGTTCATTTTCAATCGCCTCTCTGCCTTCAGAAAATGCCTTAAACCACCTAAAAACCTGAGCCCTTGAAAGTACACTTTCTCCATATGCTTGTTGGAGCTTTTGAAAACTTTCTGTCGCACTGTGTCCAAGTTTGAAACAAAATCGGATAGCACACCGTTGCTCGAAATTGTTGTCACTCATTTTCAGAACGTACTAAAAAAAACCGGTTTACGAAAATAATTGTCACACACCAACACGTGACACTACGGAGTTTAAACACGTACTGAAGGTACATTAAATGTTTATCTACAAAACTTTTCTAACATACAGTCATTAGTGTTACCATATAAGCTAC